CGTCCCCTGGGAGATTCGGCGCGGCCCCGTGGACTGGACGCGCGCCGCTGCCGCAGAGGGGGACTCGCTGCCGCCGGCTCGCGAGGTAAGAGCTGCCATTGTCAGGGCGAGCTCCTCCCAAGATGTCGAAGCACAAGGATGGACTCGGCCTTGACTTGCCCTCCATTCCCACGACTGGTGAAGGTCCCAGCTCGCTAGAGACCCTTCCAACCTCGCGGTCTCCCGTGGGGGCTTGGCCCAGCACCACCCCCCTTAGCCAAGGGCATGAAATAAGTAACGAGAGGACAGGACATGGTGATCTGACCTTATTTTTATTACGAAGGGAATAATAAGAGCACCCCAAGCTCCTGCCAGGCACTCCTAGTGGGAACATGACAGACACCCAGTGAGCACACTCAGCCCACCTGTCGTGAAGGTCCCTTTTTCAGGCCACAGAAAGAAATCAGATGTACTGTTTATGCTTATCACATCACAAAAATAAAAATTATGATGCTAGCCAAGCTAGGCAGACAGTTGAGTAGTATTTCCACACGCTCCCAAACTCACAACCTCAGGCTTCTGGCTGCAGCAGAGTCCCAGAAAGTTTCTGAAGGGAGCATACGCTACACCTACACAAAAAGCACTTACAATGCACTTACAATAGTGGACCGACAGAATAAATAAGAAATGAGACCCTAGCACTAATATCCCTTACACTTTAGGACTCTGAATCTGAGAGATGTCTTCAGGTCTATGCAGAATATATACATCTTGATAGGGATGGTGGGGCAGCCCCAGGAAAAGCCCTCAGCAGGTGGAGGAGGGAGCAAGACAGGCTGAGGGCAATAGGAGGTTCATGCTATCCGTAGGAAAAGGGGATCCACAGGGTGAGAAAGTGACCATCTCAGTGCCACAGCTCACACAATTTGGGTTAAAGAGATGGCGGGGCCTTTATGGTCATCAAAGCGATCCATGGTCTTGAGGCTGAGTATCATGTGCAGGCCGTAGGTAAAGATGAAAACCATGATGAGGGAGGTAATCAGCCCCATCCAGATGCCAGGGGAGAAGAAGCCGGCGCAGTCACTGGCATAGGAGAATTGCTCACCTGTCACATTGAAAGCCTGGATCTGCGGGAACATAGGGACACAGGTCAGACAGGATGCCCAGCCAGGGCTGCAGTCTGTAGTCAGTGCACAGTCCACATATCCAGAAAGGAAGTATACAGGACTGTCCACTGCATGCCCAAGCCATGCTGACATTCCAGGCCCACCCTCCTTCCCTCCTTCCCTTCCTGTTCCATACCTGGAAGTCCTGAAGAGTAATATGCCAGAGAGAGGGCTCCGTGGCCGCCACGAGGAGGTTGCCACTCTTGCGAGCACTGCTGACATACCCACAATGGAAGGAGTAGATGCTGGGTCCTGTGATCTGGGAAGTGTTGAAGGAAGCGACAGAGCCATTGCTGTGGATTTCGAGGCGCTCCATGGTAAACCAGTGTCGGGCAGATACTGAGTAGAATCGGTTACTCAGGATGAACCTGAGGGAGGGGCAGTAATGATGTCAGGGGGGGTAACAGGGAAGACCAGAACCACATCAGCCCCACCACCAGCACAACTACCCCCAAGACTCACTTGAATGTCACCACTGTACCGAAGAGCTGTTCGTAGGTCAGTGAAAGCCTGTAGGATGAGGGAGAAGGGTGCTGTCAGGCTCTAGGAGGGGCTTGAGTGATTGATTTGCTTACTTCATTTCATTATGTTGTAGTTCTGGGGATTAAACTCGGAGCCTTGTACTTGCTAGGAAAGGGCTCAACCACTTGAACCATGCCTCCAGGTCAAACAAATAATGCATGAACTTTGGGCAGTACTTGGATTCCTATTCAGGACGTACTGCTTGCTAGACTGGTGCTTCGCCACCTGAGCCACATTCCCAGGGTCCTCCAGAGCAGGTTAGAGGAGTAAGTCCCTCAGGTTTTCTCTTTTTTTCTTTTTTTGTCTGCTCTGGGCCTAGATGCTGCCCCTCAGCTCTTCAGCTCAAGGCTAGAGTTCTACCACTTGAGCCACAGCATTACTTCTGGTTTTCTGGTGGTTAATTGGAGATAAGAGTCTCACAGACTTTCCTGTCCAGGCTGGCTTTGAACCCTGATCCTCATATCTCAGCTTCCTGAGCAGCTAGGATTACAGGCGTGAGCCATGGGCGCCCAGCAGGTTTTCTCTTACTTAAGCTGCCCTAGGTCCTCACAACCATCTACAGGCCGTGTCCTCACCTGACAGATGGGAAATCTGAGGCTCAATCCTAACGAAGCCAGGAACAGAGCTGGGAGCCATAACCCAAGTCCCGCACCTCCAGGACTCCTTCCTCTGGTTTCTCTGACTCTATTGCCCATCATTCTTTTAGCAACCTCTTGGGGTTGCTGAGCTGCCTGCTTTGGGCTTTGGGGGTGATGGAAAATGGAGTATATAGGAGCTGGCTCTGGCAGCTGGTCTAGTATTCACCCATGATGCAGACTCAGAGCTGGTACTCAATGGGCAAGGGCCAGGTTCCTGGGTGGTCCTGTGCTGTTGATAGCTCAGATTCCAACCAAGGGTTACAGAGCACAGGAAAGCAGAACTGTGAGAGCTCCCCCTTTAGCAGCCCATCAGTGCACACCTCAATGCCACCTACCCTTCACAGCTGACCTCATGCTTACCCCCCACCCACACACCTGCCCTGACCCGGATCTACCCAGTGGCAGAAGGCCACGTGGCAGCATAGTCCCCCCAGAAACACCCACCGGCCGCCTCTCAACAGCTCTAGGAGCCACGCTTGACCCATTCCCACCCCCTCCCTCCCCAGTGTTACCAGTGAGTTTGCCCCACTGACCCCCTAAAACTCTTACCAAGCCATGGAATCATTCCAGAAGGAGCCAGTCAGGTTGAGGTCCTGCACCCCAAAGGTGAGGTGGGTCAGGTCCTCCAGTTGGCCACTGTATGCCACAGAGAAGTTCTGGGCCCAGAACAGAATCCGTGGCACAGTGCGATTATAAACCACAGGAGGATGGATCACAGTTGGTGCTGCTGTCTGTGTTTGAAGCAGCTGGCGGCCTAACCCAGCAGCCACCATGGCTACATCACGGGTCACCTGCAGAAACACCCAGCAGGCCTTCTTTTAACAGCCCTAGGACTAAGACTTAACCCACCGGCATACCCTCCTTCCCCTCTCCAATGAGAAGCCTGTCCACTAGCTCAAAGTCCCACCTTGTCAGAGGAAGCTTTTCCTCCAGCTTGCCCACATTGTTCCCTAGTACTGATCATATTCCCTCCACCTCAAACTCAAGATCACTTGGACTGAACATGTAAGAATGCTGCCCAATCACAAAACAAGATGGAGGGCTGCCCTCGGGATAGAGAAAACAGGATTTAACACTTCCTAGTCCTCCCCAGGGTCATCCCACCAGAGTCATCTTCCTGCCCTATATTCCCCTGAACTCTGCTGGAAGGCCACATACCCTGGAAGGGTGGACAGCTGTGAGAGCTGCTGTGTACGGGACATCTTCAGATTTGAGTGTGCTCAGCACCTGCCCAATGACCTCATCTGAAGGGTGATAAGAGCAGAGAACCAGGTCACTGAGCAGCCCGCATAAAGCAACACTTCCTACCACACGCCTTAGAGACCTTCTGCATGATGTTAAAAGTAATGTGTGTACACACGTACACACGCACGCACACACACACACACACACGTTGTATGTATACATATAGAACTGCATGTCCATGGAGGACTGCCCTTCATAGCAAAAACAATCCTTTTGTTTTTCTCAATGTTACTCATTTTAAGTCCAAAACTCCGGATTCACCTGGCCTGAGCAGAGACTGGATCCCTGGCCCCTAGCTTATACACCTCTGCCAGGTGGATCTGGCTCCAGCAGGACATGGCCAGGGAACAGTCATGATCCTGTTCAGCAGTCCCTGAGAGACAGTGAGGGAAGGCTAAGGAGCTGTGGGGCAGCTCTCTGATCCAGGTGTATGGGCAAAATGAGGACATGAATCCTCCCTGGCCCCACTCACCATTGCCTGTGAGAACTTCCCTGGGCGCCATCAGACCGGAGCTATGAAGGAGACACAGCTTGAGATCCTAGTAGGTGACTCGGCCCTCAAGTGCAAACAGCTGACTTAGAAGAGCTCTCTGAAGCCCACTACCCTCCCCACAGCCCCTGCAGCTGCTCCTCCTTGCCAGCAACCCACTATACTCCAATTTCTCCTCTCCTCTGGCTTTGCAGTCAAGTTCAAGTGTCTTGTCACTTGCTGTTTTTTGTGCTGGTCCTGAGGCTTGAACTCAGAACTGAGGCACTGTCCCTGAGCTTCTTTTTTGCCCAAGGCTAGTGCTTTATCACTTGAGCCACACCTCCACTTCTGACTTTTTTTTTGACAGTCTTGGGGCTTGAACTCAGGGACTGAACTCCAGAACCTCTATGCTCAAGGCTAGCACTTTATACCACTTGAGCCACAGCACCACTTCTAGCTTGTTCTGAATAGTTTACTGGAAATAACAGTCTCGAGGTCAAGGCGTCAGTGGCTCATGCCTATAATCTTAGCTACTCAAGAGGCTGAGATCTGAGGATAGCGGTTCAAAGCCAGCCCAGGCGGGAAAGTCCTGAAACTCTTAC